AGATCATACATTAAAGGCGTTGTAAAATGAATCCATATGAATTGAGTAGTTTAATCTAAGTTGTGTAAAAATATATGATTACTGTATATGATAAACATATTTATATTTAGGCTTTTATTTACATCTAAACAATGACTGACACATGCACAGAGGCACAGAGCACATCAAATATGAAGAACCTCATAGGTTTCATTAAAAATATCTTATTTTGTGTTTTGAAGATTAACCAAAGTCTTACGGGTTTGGAATGACACAAGGGTGAATTTTTATTTTTATTTTTTATTTGTGTGTGTGTGTGTGTTTGTGTGTGTGTACCTACTTAACCATATTTTGGGGACAAATTTGTAGTAAACTGTTAATGTATGTTTTGCATTTAAAAACTCTTTCAACATGTGTGTGTGTGTAACTATATATTGGGGACAAATATGTACCCAAAAAAAATTAGATACACCTGAAAAAATCTCCCAAAAACCTCCCTTTGGGGACGTCCTCATTTGTGTTTATAATTTTTTTTATTGTAAAAATGCAGAAGTTAAATCTATAACTATCTGTATATAAAAACAATATAATTCTATTTAATGTCCCCATGTAGATAGCTAAGTAAACGTGTGTGTGTGTGTGTGTGTGTGTGTGTGTGTGTGTGTGTGAACTGCTACTTTAATTCTGTGTTAATTGCAATTAAATAAAAAAATAAAAAAATAAATAAACATTATAGTTTAAAAAAAACAAGTGTACTTCTTAAAAGCATGACATAATAGTATTTAAACAATGTTTTAAAGTAAAACTTTTAATTTGACATTATTATGTTCACTTTTTTAAATAGTGTATTGAGAAACACATTCATGAAAGTCTACTCTCTTTAAATGCACTAGAGTGGCCTTTTAATATTAAATTCTCTGCAAGTACAGTTTTTTAGATATGTTTTTAAGATTCGTACACTACAAGTGCACATTTGAAACAATTAAACACACTTCTTTTTCACATGGGAGTCCATAGAATCAAGGATAAACAGTCATTTTGCATTGGATGATTCCTTCTCTGTTCACTAAAGAAGGGGGACGAGAATGTCACATGATTCTATGTAATGGTTACGTCACTATTTAATGGAAATGTCTTTCATCCTGGGGTCTTCAGCTTTAGGCTGACTCACTATTTCCATTTTAACATTCAATATATCATCTATTTCCTTTCGTTCTCAATCACATTGTCAACAACAGGTGCCATTTACTTCAAACTCAGCCTGGGCAAATGATGATGGCTGCACAATGTCATAATCTGAGGCTATTTCTGTGTTGATAATCAGGGAGTGGCTGTGATCTCACCAGTTACAGTTCTCTGTACCTTGCTCTAATGTCTCTAAAGTTTCACACAGATTAGGCACAACCCTTATTTTGGTGTGCGTTATACCTTTGCACCATAGCAACTTAAATCTGCAGTAACCCTGGAAAATCCCCATTTTTGCCCACTAACTAATGCACTGGGTGAGGTCGATGTGGTGTTTTTGCCATTTTCACTTACCAAATAAGTATTTGCAGTTCCTTGTGATGGAATACTGAAGAATATTGTAGAATAGCCTATTTGCACATTATGACTTAAATTTAATAGTTAAGACTTTGTGAGTTTAGCTTAAACATACAGCAAATTGATTGTTCAAAATCATGCATAGGTATTTATTTTAGATTTTTGATTTTTGACTTGCATGCTACAAAATGCTGTAGTAAAATGCTGATTTTAAAATGGTCAAAAAATTAACATTCTGTCAAAATGTATTCATCCTCATGTTGTTCTACACCTGTATTTCTTTTGCTTTTTTTTCGTGCAGAACACAAACAAAGATACTTTTGAAGAAATTTGGGGTCCGAACAACACTGGACCCCATTGACTTCCATTGTATGAGCTTTTGTTTGTTTGTTTGACATTTTCCTTTTGTGTTCCACAGAAGATTCAAAGTCATTCAAGTTTATTAATTAATTAATTAATTTATACAAGATATAAAATCAGAATTGCGAGAAATCTTGCAATTCAGAGATTATATATATTTTTTCTTCAGTTCTGTATATCTCTCACTTTTTTCTCACAGTTGTGAGAATTGTGAGACATAAACTCAGAACTGCGAGAAAAAAAGTCTGAATTGTGAGATAAAAAAGTAGAAATTACCTTTTCTATTTTTTATCCCATGGTGGAAACCAGCTTCCATAAGATTCAGCCATATATATTGTTTACGTATATGAATTTGTGAATGTAAATATGAATTTTATAAATGCACATACATACATTTACATATTTAAAATTTAAAAGTGAATTTACAAGAAATAAAAATAGACTTCAAAAAGAGACTTTAAATAAATGAGCTTTTTTGAAATATTTTTGGCCTTCATTTTCAAATATTGCAGTGGCCTCATTGGCAGCTTCGTGTGATCTCTAGAATTAGCATTTGCGCTTCGGATAATTTTAAACATTCGGTTTGATGTTGTGGAGATTTCTTTTGGATTTTTTATAGTCCAACAGCTCATTATGTGAGACCCCCGTAACAGAAGGTCCTGTTCATTTTCTAAGCTTGTACTCTCGAATGACCTTGTAAAAGCAGTGTCTCCAATGACGTGGATTTAAAGCAGCTCTCTCAAACAGCCAAGAGAAGCCAATGAAAGAAACGTGGCCTCTTGGTTCACAGAGCTTTTTTCCTCCTGGCCATCTTCACGCTTGGCTTTTGATTTGTTTGGTGGTCCGAACAAAGACTTAATGGGTAACAATAGGTTAAAAACTTAAAATGAGGTTTCGTTATCCGCTAACATTGACCAAATGTATGAATGTACAGTTCATTTCAGGGGAGTTCATTTTAAAATCACTAATCAAATTTGAATTCGAGTATTTATGAGACTGCAGGCACAGCAGATACTTTGGGTGCTCTGTGTTGACGAAAACACATTGGCTATTCTTTCCATTTTTTTTGCCACAAGGTAATTTCTTTGATTTTAAAACATGTCCAAACTTCAGCAATCATTAACTTCAGCAATGCTGATCATCTAGATTTTCATGGGTGTTCTCAAGGTTCAAGAGCAGGCGAGGTCAACCTGTGGAACAATAGATCCAAAGCAGCTGAGAGTTTTAATATCGTGGAGTTGGACAAACTGTGTGCAGTGTTTGGTTAGGACAGAGACATTTTTTAATTGGAAGTTAGTCAAAAAAGGATAAACCTCTTGAAATTTATTTCAGTGCATTAATGTTTTCCAGATTAATCAAGCTAAAAATAAAATGCATTAAGAGTTTTCTGGATTAGTTAAGTACTAATCAAATGCTTTAAATCTGTCATCATGTATGCTTTTTAAATGGACTCTGTGTACTGCTGAAATATTTTTCTCTCTGTAGGTGTTCCCCAAATGCGTTAGACCTGAAATGTGAAGCTATTATTAGTTTCATAGCCAAAGACTCTTTTTATTGCAGCTGTGCAGTGTGTGTGTGTGTGTGTCTGCACCATGATGTAAGAATAATATTTCTTAGTCGCTCTTATGACCACATGGAAACCCATTTGCTCCCTCGCATCCAATATCTTCAGCTGTGAAAGTGCTGCTTTTGTCTTCAGTGGAAATACACTTTGTTTTCACTAATGACACCACACTCTTCATCATTTACAGAATTATTGAAGCTGAAATAATCACTGTTAGAAAAGTTGTAGATTTTTTTAGCTTAACTAAGCATGCATTTAGTTGCTGTTTTAATTATTATTTTTTATGTATAATGTAAATTAAATATATATAGTATCACGTAAAAAAGTATGTGTATTTAGTTTTTTTAATTTGTAAAAACTATTTTTATAATATAAAATTTAAATTATAATATGTAGTATGTATTTTTAATTGTTATTATAAAAAAAGTATATGTTTTAACCTTGGCTGGAGAAGGTTGTGCTTTTGACTTTTCAATACTATGATTTTAATGCCAGGTCAGTTACTTGTATTTTAATTTATTATGTAAATTATATGTATTTAAAGTATAATGTGAAAAATATTATTTGTGTGTATTTACTTGTTTTAATTTGTAAAAACTGTTTTTTTATAATATAAATCACATAACGTTTATTATAATTAACTAAAACTAAAACCAAAACCATAAAAAACATCTTTGGTAATTGACAAAATAAATGTTAACTGAAAAAATAAATAAATAATTTATTTATTTATAAATTTCAGCTTATTTTATTTCAGCTAGTTTCCAAAAAAACATTTCTTAGTTTTCATTTAGTTACCTTGATGTACTAAAATAACAAAAACCAGAATAAGAATTCATAAAAGGTATGTTAAAATGACAACTAATAAAAATGACAAAAACAGAATTACGGAAACTTGAACTAAAATTTAAACGAAAACAGAAAATACAAAATCAAACAAATTCAAACTATTAATAAAGACTATAATAGTACCTCAATGATACTGAAATATCACAGATATGTGTTTAAATTATAATATATAGTATATTATTTAATTATAAATATAAACAAGTATATGATTTCATTTAACATGGAGAAAGTAGTTAGTGCCAAGTTAGTGCTTGCTGCGTCTACTGTTAGAATCCTAGCAGGGGAAATTTATTAGATATTTATGAGATATTTTATGGTTTCCATACACTTTTAGGTTACACCTGAAAAACTGCCCATTCTATGCACTGCTTTTTTATATTAATTTATATGTATTCATTCTTTAGTCTTGCTTTAAATAAATGCATTGTATACCAAAGTTCATACCAGTATAGGCTGTAACCTGTGGCTCGGCCTGATATGTGAAACACTAGAGATGGTTTAGATCCGTCACACAATTGAAGAGGATTATCAGGCCAGTTTTTTTTTGCCTCAGCAGAATTCCAGTGTCACTGAATGCTATGGGTTTGTCCATGACACTTCATCCGGCCTTAAGTGAAGAGATTAGCTGGCGTGACCAAATGACTTTTCAGCACACTTTAAAGCTTATCGCTATACATACATGATTCATACACACTTCTCCACAACCCAGCTGAGTGAGGAGATCCCTCAGAGCAGTTCATGTTTCTGTATTTATTTGTGCACAGTTGATGGATGTATACATAGTATACAATGGATTCTAATAGAAAAACGTAAGTGCCTTTTGCTGTATTAACATCAAAAGATAAGCAAACAAAATGAAACAAAGAAGCACCTTTGGAATGAATGAGATGCTCTTACCAACAACATTTGGTTTACAGAGGTTGTTTACACAAGTTATAATGTATCTTCGTAAGTCCAGCAGAGAATACATCTAATACACGTACAATAAAACACGTACAATATTTTACAGCTAAAATCATAATGGCAGTAGCAGCCGCATGTGTTTAATATTTCTTCTTTTTTCCTCTGCATACTGTCGAGATTTTAGATATTGAAATCGTATTGTATAAGATCTTGCTTTTGCACAACATTTGCAGTATCAAGGCTGTATCAACATCAGTGTCTTTTAGCAGAGATCAGTTTTACAAGAACATCAAGATACCCAAAGACTTTCTAACTGGTTTACTTATATAGATAGCTGAATTGATGAAGTTTATTGCCATATAGTATTTTAACTGATTTATTTATAGTATTTAACTGTTTTATCCCTTTGGGTACAGTACCATTATATTAAACGTTAACATTATTTTATTAATGTAAATATGTGTTCATAATCTCTCCTCTTCTGCCCAAAATGTAAAGTACTGATTTCTTTCACTAAACCCAAACTAAAAGCCTAATTTTGGCATTGTTTTGTCTTGAAACTTTAATGATTAGGAACGTTTTAATCTACTGGCTATCTCAGCCTAATATATGAATACAAATGGTTAGTGCATGGACCAAGTCGCCCTATTTTTGCATACAATATGCTTCACATTTAGATCAAATTATTCACATGTATTTAAAGTCTGAATACAAACTCAAACACTTTCTGATATTGTCTACAAACCATATGTAGAGGAGATGCTAGTTTTATTTTGTGACAGTTCTAATGCCACAGCATAGCATTATACAATTTTACGTTATTTAGTTGCTTTAAAACACCCTGTCCTTTTCGAGGTAGGCGATATCTGTACCTTAACATGTAACATTGTAATGGTAAAAGACATCCTTTGTCTTTGTTTCATGACAATATTCCCATTACAAATGAGGCAACACAGGATGCACACGTAAAAAGATCACTTTGACGCCATAAAATGGGTCCCAGAACACACCGAATCGTTCACTAGCAGGGCCAAACAGTGCAAAAGTCCAGTTCTTGTGGCTTTCTTTTGCTTGGGCAGTGGTCTCTAGGTAAAAGCAGTCCAGTCTGAGTGATGCATCGCAGTGGGCGTCTCTTAAAGCCTTTCCCGCAGGTTTTAGAGCATGAGGACCATTCGCCTATACTCCACATTGGGCAAGGGTCACCACACGCCCTTATGGCACTGGGCTTTTGTGTGCCGTCACAGTGTGTGGCTGACTCCCCATCCGAGTCCAAACACTGTATCAGTCTACTTTGAACCCCATTCCCACAGGTAACCGAGCACTTATTCCAGTCCGCTGCCACCCACTTATAAGACGGCATCTGATAGGCTGGCTTCTTCAGCTCCACTTTATTGCTGTCTTCCAGCACACTGTTCTGTGTAGGGTTCCTCTCGTCCTTCTTTAAGATCTTGCCCTCCTTCTTTCCCACATTCTGGTAGTAGGAGTAGCGCACACGAGGAGGTGTCATTTTACCTACCGACAATAGTTCCACCGTAAGAGACTCTTTGAGAGGTCTAGAGGCCTTCAGTATTTCCACCGATGTCCCGGTTCCACTGTAGCGAAGTAGACTTCCCTTTACGATAATGTCTTTTTCTACTGCTGAAACCACAAAGTTTCCATTCAGGAGATATTTGCCGTGGACGTTCTTTACTGCTAAATAGTTGTCATCGTTAATCAAACTGCGGTAACCGCGCTGCCTTATATCCACGTTTGCCGCTCCGACCGGTAGAGTTACCACAAAATTATATCCATGCCTGAAAAATGAGATCACAGAGTTGGACAATATTCAGAATTTAAGATTTGGCTTCTTTGTGATTCATGATTTGGAATTTGAATTGATGACACCACTCAGGAATTTCAGTTGGAAGTTGAATTGGAATGAAGTTAAAGTGGAATTTACAATAAAAAAATTTCAACAGATCATAGCATGATGTCAAATGAAGTGTTGTTACAAAAATGATTGCATTAAAAAAAAATAATAATTTAAAGAATTAAAATTAAATACAATTTCTTTTTTGATAAATTTATTTTTCGAATTTAGTTAATTACACTTTTAGCAGTTGTATGAGTTTCTTTGAATTTCAATTCATTTTAAGGTTACATTTTATTTTAGTAATATTCATCAACTACACGTACTTACTATAGGGTTAGGGTTTGGTTTAGTGTTACTTGTAATTATGCATAATTGACTGTTATTACTATAGTAAGTACATGTAGCATGTAACTATGTCATCCTAAAATTAAAATTCTTGCGCATTTTAATTTTGCTTCCTTAAAGGGGTGGTTGATTGCGATTTCACTTTTTTAACGTTAGTTAGTGTGTAATGTTGCTGTTTGAGCATAAACAATATCTGCAAAGTTGCGGCGCTAAAAGTTCAATGCAAAGAATATCCTCTGCTTCTCAATCGGGCTCAAACTGATAAGCGATATTAGTGACGCCGCTGTTTACAATATAACCGGACACTGGGCTAGCTAACCAATCAGAGCCCATCGCCTATTTCTGAGGGCGGGGCTTCATAAAAGCAGGAAATGATCAGCACGTTTCTCAGAGAGGGGACAGAGCGGTGTGGAAGGGATGTCTCTCTCATTCAGCTCAGCTCCAACAATTAACTGTTACAATTATAAACTTATTTTCACATAGCTAGAGACATGTTAGACTGCACTCCATAAACACAATCAAGCCTAGAAAAAAAACAGGAACAGAAGTATTTGCAATTCACTTCTGAATGGCAAACAACCCTGAAGACATTGCTGCAGCTGACTCTAGTCCTTTAGATCTTGTAAAACCATATCCTCAGAGACAAAGCACTTACATGGGTTTTGTGAACATTCCAGAGACTTTCTTGCAGTTTTGGTTGTCTCCACCACACATACCGCATTTGTCAAACTTCATGTTGGAGCTCAGTTTGCCATCACAGCCAGCCTTAATGCACTTTCCCTGAACACAGACCGCTGAGGTATCAGGAGAACAAGGGGTTCCGTCCACCACCTGTCACACAGATAACATTCACATTCACTACACTCTTTTTAAGTATGGTAACTTAAAGGTGTTAAGTGATAACCAGTAAAACCTATAACCTTGGATTTGCTAGCGCCATACACTACCAATTCATAGTTTTGACGTGACGTCACACCCTTACAGGAACGCCTACATGGAGGGCAAAAGCATAGTTTCCTCCACTGACCTCCAGTTATTTTTACGAGGTTTGCATTAAGTAGTAATGCAGTAAGACAGTGATATTTAAAGGCCAAATTCAGTAAACAATTTATTGATGATGCATACTTTGTACAGGCAAGCAGATGAACCCAGAATATAAACGCAATGTGCAAAGTTTAATATGAAACATTTTCCCATAGAAAACCATTATAAAGAAGCCGCTTAACCATTTAGCACATTGCGTTCATATTCTGGGCTCATTTGCTTGCCTGCATAAAGCATGCATCAGCAATAAGGTGTGTACTGAATTTGATCTTTTAATATCACCGTTTTCACATTAAACGTTTTAGAATGTCCCGCTGTTTTTAGTGATTGAAATATTGCGGTGGGTGATTTATATGGATTGCTAATGGCCAGTACTTTTATTTTGTTCACATATCTTTGTTTTATTCTTTTGAGAGATGATCTAAATACTTTTGGATTGGAACAGATAGAAAATCGACAGGCTTGTGCTGCAGTTCTATGGATGTTTTGCCCACCAGGTCTTCAAGCCGGTCATGTGACTGAAAACTCAATTGAGCTACAGAAACACTTCTAGCTCTCCTTGCCCATATTTCATCAAATTATTTTTATTTATGTATATGAAGTATACAGATCTTAAAATTAAAAGTATATACATTGCTGTTCAAAAGTGTGGGGTCAGTAAGATATTTTTTTTGTGTAAGAAGTCCCTTATGCTCACCAAGGTTGCATTTATTTGATTAAAATGTAATTTATTCCTGTGATGCAAAGCTGAATTTTCAGCACCATTATTCCAGTCTTCAGTGTCACATGATCCTTCAGAAGATCCTTCATTCTAAAACTGATTTGCTGTTTACTTTTTTTTTATTTATTTATTTATTTAGTGGAAACCTTAATACATATTTTAGGATTCTTTGATGAATAGAAATTTCAAAACGAACAGCATTTATTTGAAATAGAAATGTTTGTAACATTATAAATGTATTTACTGTCACTTTTGAACAATTTAATCCATCCAATGCTGAATAAAAGTTATAATTTCTTTAAAAAAATATATTTACATTTACTTTTAGTCATTTAGCAGGCACTTTTATCCAAAGCGACTTACAAATGAGGACAATAAAAGCAGTCAAATCTAACAAAAGAGCAAAAAATTTATATAAATAATAATAAAAGTTAATATAAGAATGCTTTTTTTCATATTTAATATACATAGCATGATTTTGGTCCAATGAGTTGTCATGTGGGCGTGGCTAGCACAGAAACTCAGTGACTAACAGAATGTAGCATCACTCGTCGCTTTGCTGCATTGCAGCTGGTTAGTAGACAGTTTTAGTTGTGTAACTAATGTAAGCTGATACGCTATAGCTGTCTAGATTACTGAAACTGTGAGTGTTTTTGTCTTCCCATCTACGTCATGAGTGATTATGAGAAGCAGCCCTGCACTGTGTCTTTCCACATGGCCATATCTGAGAGATAAGCTCTCACCATTACTTTTTAAAAGTATCTTGTTCGCTTTGGAAAGGGGATGTTATTCTTTCCATGAGAGAAGAACTGCACACTGGCTCCTTTTGCTCATGAACTATGAATGTCAAACAACTTTGCAGTATTTAAGCATTTATTTTTATTTATTTACCTTCTGTGCAAGGACATAGAAGTATCCAGTGCCGTTGGCTCGGCAGATGAGCTTGCATCTGTCCTTAACAGACACTCCAGAGTATTTCGGAACCCAGACCACAGACGGGCTAAGTCTGTTAGTGTTCAGACTGATGCCATTGAATGCCTCACACTGCTCCTCTCGAAAGCTCTTTCCTGTCACAAACAGATGGTCATAGTCAGACACGAATATTGACTTATGCATATTGTTTAACATTAGACTGAAAAATATTTCATTTACCTGAGTCTTTACAGGGCTTTAAGTTGCATGAGCGATACTTCACTCTCAGTCCCTGACAGTACTTGCCCCCGTTTTCAGGGACAGGGTTGTTACAGTCCCTTTTGGCGAGCTGCACCCCTCCCCCACAAGTACGGGAGCACAAACCATACAGACCCCACCGACCCCATTGGCCGTCTGCCTGCGGAAAGAGTCCACACGTCTCAGAAACAATTACATCCTTGCTGAGAAGACTGGCAAACATCTTCAAAAAGACTAGCATTTAAATGTTCATTGTCGGCAGAAATATATCATGAGCATTATACACCACAAAAAAAATTAAAAAAAAATAAAAAAAAATTCAATTAATAAAATAAAAATAAAATAAAATAATAAAACAAAACAAATCAAAACATGAAGGTTCCAAAACGGGGTTTCAGCAGTGATGCCAGAGATGAACTTTTTCTGATTTTTTTTAATGAGTGTGACCAACATTTTAATAATCTAAAGAACCCTTTCCCACTATAAAGTACCTTTTACTTTTTTCAGTAAAACGTATCTACAAATAACAAGAAAATTTAAAAACAAAAAAACAAGAAAATTTAACAACAAATATACATTTATTTGAGAAGCAACACTGGATTTTTGATATTTTTATTGGAAAATTTACATTTAAATACATTAACCATCATAAATGTAATATAAATATATATAAATGGAATATATTCTAATGTAATAATTTCAGTTTCAGTGTTCAAAAGTCTAGGGTCAGTGAGATTTTCAGCAGGGACACGTTAAATTGATCAAAAGTGACAGTGAAGAAATATAATAGTACAAAAGTTATATTTATATATTTATATCTATATAAAAAAAAAACAAAAAAACAACAACAACACTGTTTTCAACATTGATAATAAGATTTGAGATTTGAGCAAATCAGCATATTATAATGATTTCTGAAGGATTATTTGACACTGAAGAGTAGAGTAATGATGCTGAAAATTCAGCTTTGCCATAATATATTAAATATTAAAATAAAAAACAGTTATTTAAAATTGCAATAATATTTCACATTATTACTGTTTTTACTGTATTTTTGATTAAATAAATGCAGCCTTGGTGAGCAAAAAATATTTTTTTTCAAAAACATCTGACATGTCAGATAAAACAACACAAGCGCATTTGTCTGCAGTCCGATATACTGTAGTTAGTACATCACTCACCTTGTCTTTGTTGGTATTTTGCTTATCAGTACAGATCCCCCGATAGCACAGCTTGTTGCTGCCACAGGTCGTACCGTCAGCCCAGGGAAAGTGGCGAGTCTGACACACCAGCTGTCCTTTAGCTTTCCCTGTGCACCACAGTTTGGAGCACGCCTGCATGTATGGACAGGGCTTGGATCCTGAGCCGAAAGCCAGTTCACATTGACGGCTGAGCGAGTAGCTGATGCCCGGAGGGTCATTTGGAAGAGCCAAAAGCTTTTGGGGCTGATCCAGCAGACAGTCACCTGGAGAGCAAAAGGTACTTAATGCAAATTTTACATTTAGTATTTTGGTGATTTGTATAGCTGAGCATATCCTCAATGTATTTATTCGACATTGCTGAGACAGATGTCAAAGTTGATTGCAGCAGAGCAATCAAACTAACCGTGGCCATCATCCAGGAAGTCTGTGATGATGGCAGCGCTGCAGACAGACCAGGGCGTGTTGTGGTCAATCTGGATCAGTGTGGGAGACATCATATGGTTGTCCTTCAGCTTTCCAAATACCTCCTCACAAGCCTTCACATTGTCATGTGGCATACTGAACACATGCCCTGGACAAGAGCCAAAGAAATAGTCAAGAGGTCTAAGTCTGTTTTCATTTTCATAGCAGAAAATGCAATTAATAGTTACAGTTAAGAGTTTTTGTCCATTGATAAAAATATACTTTAAATGTAGTCAACATCTATCTACTGCCTGTCTGTCTATCTGTCTGTCCGTCCATCCATCCATCATTCTATGGTTCCATCCATCCATCCATCCATCCATCCATCCATCCATCCATCCATCCATCCATCTATCTATCTATCTATCTATCTGTCTGTCTGTCTGTCTGTAAGGTGTACGATAACTAACAGATTCAAATATGTACATAGAGTTGTCTGTATACACCATATAAGGATGGCACTGATGCACCAGCCCCAGTGAATGTGGTTCTTCAGCATCTGCTAATGTTTTCCCATCTGTCTTTTATTAAACCTTTGTTTTCACAGGGATCGAGAGATGTGGAAAACTCTTGAATGCAGTTGTCATTGCTATTCTAAATTAATAATAAAGCGTGGCAGGACTTTTTTTCTGGAAACAGCTGGCACAACATTCATGTTTAAAGATCAAGGAATCAGAGATAGAATTTCAGGAGTGAGAAGCCTCATCAAACTCCCATCACCCTAAAGGATTCAACTTTACACCACAGACAGGCGCTGAGAAGAGAACACAGACAAGGACTTTCAGTTCACCTGTTTTGCTCACAAAAGACTGACTCTGACACTAAACAAAGCTCTCACCTAATTCATGTGCGGTGGTGAAGGCTGAGGGAAGACCATCATCTTCAATAACTGAGCAGCTCCTCTTAGGATCACACATGGTTCCTACATCAGCCATACCCAGAGTGTCACATGTGGTAGCCCCACACAGGTCCTGTGAAGAAAATGATTATAGTGTGAAATCAGTGATGAAACACTATGTGACATAACAAGCATCAAGTGTTATGAAGATGATAGCCAGGGTTGCAGTTGTCATCACTTAATTAATCTCTGTAATCCAGGCTTCCTCGCTGAGCTTTTCCCAGTGATTATCCAAAGTGTGAACTGTCTATTTCCGATTTGTCTGATCAAAATAGAAACTTATTGTGTATTGACATTATGAGAAGCATAGGGTTGTGTGGAACAGTGAGGGTGGCCAAGAATGCCTGTAAACAGCTGTAGTTACGACATTGTTACGAGGACAGATGGAACCATGTGAGAACATCATAGTGCAGCCACCTGGAGACTTCAGGGAGAAATTTTGGGAAGACTGAATACATTCCAATATTATCTTGACATAAATGTTTCAACTTTCTCATGCTGTCAAACATGAGTGGTGCAGTTTAAAGGAGATGGCCATCTGTTCAATTTTTAGTTTACTCCTTAAAACAAAAAAAACCAAAAAAAAATAAAATAAAATTATAGACTGAGAGCTGCGTATGAATTCCTGTCTGCATCAATATCACCGGAGTAAAAGCATCTTCTAAAATCATCTCCTAAAAAAGCACTTGAAGATGATGTGTTATATTGAAATGTGCCATCAGGAGCCAGAAAACTGGAGTCAGGCAGAAGATTAAGATAAAATTCCTGATTAAAAGCGTTTATTCTGTAAACAACAAGTTCGTTGTTCAGTTTGTCATGACTTGGGAAATTTTCACGGTCAAGTCGAACAGGTTCACAAAAATCAGTTTCCATACAGAGGTATATTTTCGTTAAAAACAGCATGTGCAAGAGACAAAACAAAACAACGGGGGAAACCGACATCGTTGTTGGTGGTGATTATATATCCTTCAAAGTGTAATTCACACCGTGATTCTGTTGATCACGGTTCTGTGCATCCGTAATGAGGATTTAAGCATTGCCACAATCGCCATCCATCGACCTGGTGTTTCTCTCTGTGCAACCAGCTCTCTCTCTTTTATTCTTTTGCGTCATATGTAGTAAACATTGCAGATTGTAATAAGAGTTTTTGGGAAGTTCAGATGAGAGCTCATGATTCATGTTGAACACCGCAGACACTTCTGGCTCTCTAAATATGAGCATCAAGCCAGCCGCGCTTCAGAGGTTACCTCCCACTCCATACAAATGCTTGTCATTTGTAGAGGTGTAGAATGCGACTTTGGGGGGGGCATTTTTTAAAATAAGTAAATTATTTTTATTTCATCTTTTTTTTTTTTTACTTCTTATAAAGAAATTACAAAATTATAATAAAATTATAACAATTTCATAAAATGTCTTATAAAATTAAATAGGCCTACGTTTGTTTAATACAATCAATTCCAATACTATATTTACGTTATTAATGAGAGGAGGTAAAGGCATCATAACACATAATCCTAATAATTCTGATGATTTTACTTCATGAGATAATAGAACGTTCATTCAAAGTAATCTGATCTTTAATAACCTTCTCAGAATGTTAGTTCAAAAACATTATTTCTATCATTATCATTTATGGGACGTTTTTCTGCGAAATTTTAGTTGGGCGTTCATCTGAGATGGTTTAGAGAATATTCCAAAGTAACATTCCCATAATGTTTGCAAAAATGTTTCTTTAACATTCACAAAACCAAGAAAAAACTGAACGTTTTGAACTTTCGAAAGTAGGCTATTCTTTAAAGTCACCACTTAAAAGAGTCACCACATAAATCTATTCATAAACATCACACAGAGATTATCACGAAGATATACTGTCAGTTATAGTCAGTAATTGCATTAAATATCAAAAACGTACTCGGTTACTAACGTAACCTCGGTTCCCTGAGATACGGGAATGAGTGCTGCGTCTCGCTCAAGACGCATATGGGAAAAAGCCTTTTTTCTCCTGAACTGAAGCCTATTTCATTCACGTAGTGAAACATGGCGACGAAGCCCGCCAAAGCCCGCCAGAATGGGCGGGGCATCTGGCTATATAAGCGGGCGCTCGCCACAGGTTTCTCAGGTTTACTTCGACTGAGGCAGTGATTGAGTCGTGCAGCTACGTAGCACGGTCAGCAACGCAGTACTCGTTCCCGTATCTCAGGGAACCGAGGTTACGTTAGTACTCGCGAGTACGTGTCCTTTCAATACTTCACTCGTACTGCGTCATATATGGGAACAGTCCAATCACGCCGTGCTAATGTAGTGGAACGACTAAAGGTATAACTTCCATAAGCAACCAATGCTTATAGAGAAGTCAACAATAACCCAAGGCTAAGCGGGCTGAGCTTTCTAGGTCACACCCGGCCTGGTTAATCGTTCCAGAGTATACCCGTAACTTCGACACCCAGGGGTCGAGAGCTAACAGGTGAACAATACCAGAGAACTTGGGCGCGGCACGGCCAAGGGCTCTCTGTCATGTCTGTTTACGCAGCGCGTGCCATTTCAAGCGGAAAGGATCCTGGCCTGTAAGGCTGGGACTTCCAGGCTATAAAACCTCGCAAATGTGGACGGCGAGGCCCAGCCGGCCGCCTCACAAATATCCGCAATGGACACACCACTGGACCATGCCCACGACGAGGCGATGCCTCTATTCGAGTGGGCCCGTACTCCAATGGGGCATTTGAGGCCTAAGGAAGAGTATGCTAGCGAGATGGCGTCTACTATCCATCTAGAGAGTCTTTGCTTCGTAACCGGAAACCCCTTGGTG